AGTTAGTTAGTTAGTTAGTAGTTAGTTAGTTAGTTAGTTAGTTAGTTAGTTAGTTAGTAGTTAGTTAGTTAGTTAGTTAGTTAGTAGTTAGTAGTTAGTTAGTTAGTTAGTAGTTAGTTAGTTAGTTAGTTAGTTAGTTAGTTATTGTAATACATTTTTTTCACTTCGAGTGCAGTTGCGAAGCTCGCCGGGTTCTATAGTCTTGTGTGAATGTTTTGTTGCATAGCACTTTAATTCAGGTAACACGGTTTAAAATTTAGAGTGACCAGTTAAAATGAAACTTAAAAATAATATATGAATATCTTTACTTCATTTTTGTTTATTTCACTTTTTCCTCATGGTTTTTGTAGTTGTTGCTTTTTCCTTGTTCTCTCTCTTTTACAACAGGTACATTGTATTCTTGGAACTATCCCTTTTACAAAAAAAAATATGTTTTTGTTTATGATGTTGCAATAAATAAACACAAGTACAATTTTATATTATTTTTAGTTTTAGTCGTTCCGTTTAGTCATTAAAAGAAAATTTATCATATTTTTATGTTGAAAAGTGTTACGGTAGGGAAAATAAAATGTACCTTGACCCTTACAATAACAAAAAAAGAAATACACTTGTTTTTATTTTTATCATCTTAGGTAGTTTTTAAATGTTGATAAAGATTTAGCTTGAACATGTTAATATTTACGGGAATTTAAGGAATTAACGTCTGTTTAATCTGTTCCTTAATTTACTTTTAGCAAATATTGTTATCACAAGTAATTCATGCGTATATTTCTTTAAAAGGATATGAGATTTAAAAAGATCTTATTAATACTATTTTAGACAAATAAATTTAGCATTCTTAACTACATTTAATTATGAAGGAATTTTAGCATTGGTTGTGTAATTTCTAAAGCTTTGGTACGTGGCTATGGAGAGAATTATTGACAATTTAATATCATGATTATTTTAATCTCATGATGTCACTTTAATTTCTTTCAAATGAGTAAGTTATAGTTCTTATTCAAATTGAGTCGTTTTCTGCAGTCAGTTGACCAATTTTTGATAGTCCCATTAACCGAAATAGGAGTAACTTAGGCTAAGTTATTATCTTTGTACTTCTAATATTATGCAAAAAGAAAACACCTATCCGTATAGACAGTCATTCGCGATATGGGCTATGTCATTTATTGAGCTTACAGTGAATCTTCTGTTAGAGATAATAATTGGAGAGGAGCAATCTATATAGACTGAATGTATTTATTTGACGTTTACCATAATGGAGGCATGTTTAAAGTTTCTATGGACCCTAATCGTCGAGTTTGAGGCCAATTTCTTTACCATGAGGTCAATAGGTAGCCAATGTATTAGCACGTATTCATCCCTAATACGTCAAAAAGTTCCACTTTATGTAAAATGTAATATGTATTTAAAATCCGCTATCAGCATTAATCATAACTTTCATCTGAATTGACATTTATATAGGAAAACAATGAACACCTGCAATTCAGCAACAAATTTTACAAGATAAATAAAAAAACCGATGCAATTAAGATTTAAATTATATCTTATTTTATGTTTTTGACATTTTTCTCAAAGTAGCGGGAGATACTTTTTTATAATAAATCTAAAATTTTTAAATTTAAAACGAATGAATAGCTTCGTTATAACCTCCAGTGTTGTTAAACGTTAACATTAAAATAAAAATTTTGTTTGATATTAGAAGCACCCTGTTATTAATGACATTGTATAGAAATTATACAACAACATTAATATTATGACATTTTCACTTCATTTTAATAAGTTTATGTTAGAATAATTTAAGTAGAGCTATTAGTTTAGTGCTCTTTAATTAATAGCTATTAATAAAAGTTATATTAAGAATAAATAGTGTTTTAATAAGTGATACAGAAAATGGCTGCAGTCGAACGTTTTGATTTAGAAAAAGTTGCACAAATATTTCAAGACAGTTTACGAGACGATGATGATGTTGCAATGGATGATTATTTAAAAGCATACGAGGAAATAAACAAGTAAAATATTGTTTTTTCTATTGTATACACAAGGATGTTTTTGAATGTTCTTTGTTGTTGAGTTGGCATTGTTAATGTGTTTTGTTCGATTTTCAGATTTTTTAGTTTATTGGGTTCGGTATTTGGTTTCGTCAGCAGTGATGTGAGATCAAAAATCGACATTTTATTAACGTTTCGAAAGGAAACGGATGCGGAAAAGGCTGAAAAATTTGTTACCATTAAATCAATGATGTCATACGAAAAGGATGCTAATTTATTTAAGGACACTAAATATGTTTCAGGCAGTCGTACACTGTTGCGTTTGCATAGAGGTTTAGGTGAGCTGAATTGTTGTTATTTTGCATAAAGTATGCTTTAAAAAACGGGCATGCATTTTTAAAGTTTTTTTGAACAATCTGATAAACAATTTTTTTCACTACGGCAAAGACAATAAAAGTTCGTTTATTCAAAAATTAAATCAATGATGTCAAACTAAGAGGACGCTAATTTGTTTAAGGGTAGTCATACGCTGTTGCGTGCATAGAGGTCTATGAACTTGTCTGCTGTCTATTCTACGAGCTGGAAACTGACAACTATATAGACTTCTCTATTATGGATTAATCTATATACTATTCACTAGTCTATTAACTATACTCTTAACTAGTCTTTAGCTAAGTATATAGACTAGTCTATTGCCTAATCTATAGAAAACACTATGGCTGACTAGTCTGTGGGCTAGACTCTTGTGATATTTCGGTGTCAAAAAGTACAATATTATTGAATTTTTCATTTATGTTACACAGTGTATCCTAATGTTTGTTTCTCATTAATTTTGTTTATACAATCTTATCTCGTTAACTTGTCATGTTTGTTTATCTAATAACTACGTATACGTATTTCTATTTGAACCACATACGTCCATACAATTTTAACTTAATTTTTATTTTTTTCTTTTCCAGAGTTTGTTTATGAATTCCTCAATCGTTTGACAGAATTAAGTGAAAGTGATAAAGTTCACGGTTGCTGTAAGATTTCTTATGAGGCTACATTAGCCAAATATCATCCTTGGGTTGTTCGTAAAGGAGCTTTAGTTGCTATGTATGCCTTGCCCACACAAGGTGAACTTTTAAAACGTGTCTGTTGCAATGTAGATCGTGTAGCAGAATTCCTGCCGGAAATGTTAAAGAATACTAAGACAGTCTATGATCGTACGCAGGCGCTATATACTCTCTATGATCTGCATCATTTGCCTTAAGTTTATGGGTTGTATTCAAACTTGAGATTTCTCCGTTTCATATTTGCTAAAATTTTAAATTTAGTTACCTTTAGTTGGTTTTTTGTTCGATTTTTTTTTTACAATTTTGTATAAGACATATTCAGTATTTATTGTTAGTGTAAAGAAATTGTGCAGCTTTAAGTTTTTGTTTTTATTAAATCTTATGTTTTACTGTGTTTTTAATTTCATATGTGCTATAGTTTTTCCATTTATTTTTACATTCCCTTAGTAATAATATTTTCTATTAATGTGCTACATAACATGCCTTAAATAAACGAAGTTTTCTTTACTTATATGTATATCATTAGACAGTTGAATTAATTAAGCGAAATATTAAATTTATTAAATATTATCTGAAAAAATATTAAAGAAAATAAAGTTTATGCTTCAATTTAAAGAATATTTAACTGCAAATCTCATCTTTTACTAAGGGTTGGTTAGGTTCAATGATATTAATAAGAACTAGCTCTTGTCATTTAGTTCTATCTTAACTTGATTTTTACTACCATGGAGAATTATGGGCAATAGAAAAATCATTGTTTATTCCTGGGACGGAGTTTTGGTTATACGTTGTCAGTTTGGAACTTATTTTTTTGTTCCCCTTTAAACTTTTAGTTTCCTCTTGGCGAAAGACCCGTACAAAATTATGGGTCTGCAGACCTCCCATGTCTCATTTTAGGTCGTTCAATATCTTTATGCATCTGCCTAAGTCTAGATGTGGAAATAATATCATTTATATAGTTATGTCTTTTAAGTTTTTAGTCTTCATTTTGCCTTCTCTTTATACAGTTTTTATTCCGGATTCATCTATGTTATTGGGTGTTTCTGTAAAGTTGAACACGCTTCTATAAAGTTAATGTTTTTGCTTCAATTTCTTTAATTATCAAGTAATTTGAAACTAAAACAATTAAGAAAGTATAGTCGGGCGTGGCCGACCATATGATACCCTACACCAGTTATGAATATTAAATGTGATTTATTTTTCATAATATCGCATTTATCTTCAATATTCCCTTGTTCCGATACATTTAAGCAATTTATGGATGAAAAACCAATTTTCTGAAAGAGGTTTTATATGGGGGCTAGGGGCAAATATGGACCAAGCCCGATAAAATCTTGTGAATATATTTATATTTACATAATATTTAATTGTGCTGAATTTCATCGCGATATTTTTGTTTATAAGTTAATTTGGGACATTCAAGTAATTTTCTGAAGGGGACTTTGTATGGGAGCTGGGGTCAAATGGGGCCAGATCTTTATGAAATTTGGCACGGTTATCAAGACTTCTATAAAACTTAGTTGTGCCGTATTTTATCGATATATCTGTATATTTAACATAATTATGAGCTCAGAAGCCCTTTTCGGGGGGTTCTGTTCTATGGGGGCTAGGTGAAATAATGGACCGATTTTAACCATTTTCAATAGGCTTCGTCCTTGGGTCAAATAAAACGTGCGTGCCAAATTTCATCCAATTATCTCGAAAATTGCGACCTGTAGCTTGCGCACAAGGTTTTTTTCGACTCAGAAAACGATTCTAAGCCGATTGGGTCTAGGATGGGTCTAGGACAATTATTTTTATATGTTACAAACATCAGCACAAATCCAATATACCCTCCCCACTAAAGTGGTGTATTTATACCGTTGTATTTACTTTTTGTATACTAAACATTACAGTTTAGTAAACAATTATATCAATTTTCTTTCGCTAACCAACACTGCCCTCTTAATGAAATGTCATTTAAACGAGACTCGTTTTAGCGCTACTTTTGTTTTTGACCAAATTCTTCGCATAATAAATAGAAAAGCCAAACAAAAGGAATTGAAGAAAAAACCGGAAAGGTAGGTTTATAACAAAAAACACTCTTGACTATTAATCAAAAAAGTTAATAAAACAAGTATTTTTTTTGCATAATATAATAAATACATTTAAATAAATCTCCATCTACGTAGAAAAACAAACATTCTAGAAGACATAAACATATATCTGCAGTAGGAAAACGACACAAAGTATTCGAAAGAAGAACAAACGAAACAAAAATGAGCAAATACACAACAAAATATCTTGAAGACAAACTAACCGAACAACTTGAAGCAAAATATGTTAAAGCCATAGATGAATCAGATGGTTGTGGTGGCAAGTTTAGTGTGACAATAGTATCCGACAAGTTTAAAGGCAAGACATTGCTGCAAAAACATCGTTTGGTTAATACAGCTTTAGCGGAAGAACTTAAAGAAATACACGCCTTCTCACAAAAATCCTACACACCAGAAGAGTGGGAGAAAGTGCAGCAGCAGTAGAAAAATTTGTGAAATAATAAAAATATGTTTGATAAAGTGAATTTGGTTGGTGTTTATTTTGTTTTTCTCTTGTGAATAATTACCACTACATATTTTGTATTTGTGAAATTTAACGTAACAATAAGAGTTAAATAAAATAAAATTAAAACAATAAACTATAGATGAAAAAAATTGAGAGACTGCATATTACAGCATTTGCACAGTGGGTTGTGGAGCTTAAAAAACTGTTATGAAACCTTTTAAAATTTATAGACAAGTTTCCTTGCTGTTATTTGGTCAAAGATTCCATCTTCTATTTGAATCATGGCACAGGGATTGCAGGCTGTTTACAAAAGCAACCAGATTACTTTTGGGATTGGACTGGAAGAGTTAGAGGATTCTTGTAGTAGTGATAACAAGTCTCTGCGCTATGGGAGCCCTTCTAGGTAACTGCAACATTCCTTTAGTGTCTGGCAGATGTAGCTAGAAAATAGATTTCACGATGTAACTAGGATTGATAAATGGTCATTTTATCAGGGCAATAAAATGGCTATGATGTGAAGGATTATAAGTATTCCATTAAATTAAACTTTTCAAAAAGTGATCCTTCACTTTTATGTGAAGGATTATAAAGAATTTCATCCAATTAATCGTTTCAGAAAGTGATCCTGGGTAGGTCGGTATACTTTAAGGTGGGTTCCCCTCTCCACTTTATCACTTGATCTTACTCATATATGTAGGTATTAACCCTTTCTGCACAGAATTAGGAATATTTTACTATATTTTTTAGTAGGTTTTTATATGGAACTACAGACTATTTATTTCTAACAACCCACTGTGCAATACTTAGTGGTAATATGAGTTTTTTACAGCTTAAAATCGAATAAACGAAACAAAAAAAATCAACACAGAAAGTGAAAGTGTATTTGGAATACAAAAAATCAAGCAAAAAAATTAAACCAGCATAAACAAAAAAAACACTTCCACAGTATTAAGTCAAGCTTTGAACTGTAATAAACGTTAAAATCGGAAATCTTTAAAAAGCGAACAAATACAAACAAAGAAAAACAAATTTAAAGAATATTTTTCCGAACACAATTTTAAACTATAACGAATAACAAAAAAGCAATTGTATAGTTTGACCCCAATTGATCATTTTTAAACAAATACTGCAACCACAAAATAGAAAAAACTCCATTGAATTTTGGCTTTGTTTTATTTAAATTTTGGTTTATTTTTTAAAACATTACATAATGTTGAAATTCCAAGTGAAATCACCAGGAAAGATCATTTTACATGGTGAACATGCAGTGGTTTATCACAAACCCGCCTTAGCTGCAGTAGTAGGTTTGGGCACTACTTTAAAGTTCACTGCAGCTGAAAATGGCAAACGAGTTGTTACCGTACAATTGGAGGCTTTAAATACAAGTTTCGAAATACAAGTTGATACGTTTAATAAATTTCTCAAACAATGCCGTTCCAAGTTCCCACAGGAAACATTTGAAAGTGGTGCCCAGCTATTGGAAGAGGTGCGCACCGAGCTTAATCGTCAGCATGAGGAGTTATTGGAGCAGGGTACACCTAAAAAGCAACAAACTCAAAAGGCTTTTCTCTCTATATACTATCTATTGGCTGGTGCTGTTTTATCTTCACCTAAAAAGGAATTGGAATTAACACAAGCCTTCACCATAAACATAGACACCGAACTCAATTTGGGAGCCGGTTTAGGCAGCTCTGCTTCGTATGGTGCAGCTTTGGCGGCTGCTTTTCTACTCTATGCTCATCACTTCGATTTGAATTCGTATAATGAACCTGAAAATCAAGCTTTAATTTCCACTTGGGCCTTTGAATCGGAACGTGTTATGCATGGTACACCCTCGGGCATTGACAATACCGTCTGCACTTATGGCGGCATGTTACGTTTCGTTAAGGGCCAAGGTTTTCAAACACTCAAAATACAGAGGCCCTTAAATATTTTACTGGTAGATAGTAAAGTTAAAAGATCCACTGCCGATATAGTAGCCAAGGTACGCCATTTGGGAGAACAATTTCCCGAAGTTATCAATTCCATTTGGAATGCCTGTGAAGCTTTGGTTAACGATGCCATTCCCTTGTACGAAGAATTTGGCAATGGCCAAGATGACAGCGAGAAATTCGAGAAACTAGAACGCTTATTCCAAATCAATAACGATTTATTAAAGGCCATTGGTGTTACACACCCCAAATTGGAACAAATCTTTTCGATTGCCTTTAAGCGGGGATTTTTCAGTAAATTAACCGGTGCTGGTGCCGGTGGTTATGTGATTGTTTTACTGCCCGAAAACTATGCCAGCAATGAAGTGTATTGGAAATTGAAGGAAGAATTGGAGGCAGCTGGTTTTGGTGTCTTTGCTACCACGGCTGGTGGTGAAGGTTTGCGTATGGAACAATTGTAGTTAATTAGTGATGATAATGAAAATGTATAATTTTTACATTAAATATGAACAAATTGTTTATATATTCTTTTGATTAATATTGTATATTTTTTTATTAATAACTATTATATTTTGTGGACATTCTCTATATACCTATAAATTTATAATAAAGTATTTTTTATTGTTAAAAAAAGGATTTTGAAATGAACGTTCACATCGGTTAGTTGTGTTTGGCCTTATTTTAAATTAGTGGGCAAAGTTGAAGATAGTAAATTTCTTTCAAATTCATCCAACCTGTTATTGGTTCTGTAAGGAAAAGAGAAAAAGGTAAATAAATTTTTTTATAAAAATACCAGTTAAATGGAAAATATTTGACTACAGTTGAGGTAAATATACTATTCTGATTACAAAACAATAACAAAACTATTGTTTGTTTAACAAAAACCTAATTTGTTTACATAATTCATTTTAACGAGACTTTTGGCTTACATTTTGAAGGCACTTAATGAATAAATAAGTATGTATTGCTTTGTATATTATTTCGTGATCTGTGAACTTTGGGAAGTGTATAAAAAAGAAAAGAGAGAAGTGATAGCAAACAAAACTGTGATTCAAGCCATACAGAAAAAACAATTCCCCTGATAAAGCCTATCAGATTACATGGATTATAACCGGTAATAGTAACTACCTACTTCCTCATGGAATGTATTTCTTAACCATTTTTTAAGGGAAGAAACAAATTATATAAAATTTTTAAGCTCTTCAGCATCCTCAGATAACCTACAAAAATGCGGTATTGACCCATTTATAGGTGAAAGCAAACAAACACTGTAGGGTGCTAGACCAGAAACTTAGAGCAAACTTTTTACAAGGGGTTTGCATAGATATTACAATTGATGAAAAGTGTAGAAGTCTTAGGATAACTACTACCTTTTGTAATTTTGGTAGTAAATATGCTATTTGAGATGATATTGAAATTTGTTTTCCATACGAATCTTATTCGATGACGTATGCGGTATCTCATCCCCAGATTTTTTCGCCAATGTTCTTACTAGTCTATAAATTAATTTTAAACACTTACCATTTGTTTTATCTCTACATAAATATTAAATTAACGTTGGCTGGTATCTCTTGGTCTGTAGGGAATGCCACGACTCTTCATTTCTCTTAAAGTAGCCTGGGGCAAATTACCCGATACTGATATAGCATAAACGCCTCGAGAAAAGCGACCTACATATAAAGAGTTAAAAGTAAATAAACAATTTTCTTTAAAAACAACTAGCAACAAAAACTAACCTATTCTTTGCCATTTGGCTACCCAAGAATCTTCGGGACTCATTAATGCAATAATGCCATCAAAATTGTTGCTAGTATGATCGTAGACATTGTCCTTGTTGTTTTTCATGCGCAAAAATTCATCGCAATTGTCGCAACCATCGTATTCAAATTGGTCAAAAGACTGGAAAAGTTGGAAGAGACAATTTAGAAACAGATGTATGATTAAAATTGGAAAATTTTACATACCTTTACTAGAGAGCACACCAAACAGGCTCTTAAACCACGTAAATCTTTAGGTATAGTATCGAAGGACATGGTGTTTTTCTTAAATGGAATTTATTTGTTGTGATTTCTTGCAATTTCTTGAAATTTCTGTGTATTATAATGCCGTTTTCTTCTGATTTGTATTATTTCTTCCTCTTTTTCTTTGCAATACAAGTCAGAGCCCTGCGCCGACAAATTTTAACGGCGGCGGCGACTGACACTAAATATGTTGGCGGCGGCTTAAAATCGACTGTAAGCCGGCTAAGTTTTCAACTACGCTTAGTTTTTAATTTTTCTACGATTTTAAATAAAAACGGAATCCGAGAGATCAGAAAGTGGGATTTTGGAAGCAAATGTATTGTTTATAACAACAAAACAGAGCAAGCTCAAAAGTTGTGTGAGAAATTATGCAGGGATGAATAAAAAATTCTTAAAAATTAAAAACAAATTCTTTCTCCAAGTTTTACTAGGATCTACCGATATTTAACACTATCCTCCATATAAAACATATTGCAGAAAATCAGTTTCTAAAAAATTTTGCATTAAGAAAATGATCAATAACGTAAAAACAAAGATTTTTTATTTGTTTATTTACTACCTATACCCAGTGTGCTGTGCTACCCTAAAAGCAATATAAATAAGAAACCTACTTAACGATTTTGATGATTCTAACTACTATGGTTTTCCAGATATACAATTTGTTACATATGGGAGATTTCACGCAAATTATTGCAATTTCGCCAATTATTCCGAACGTTAATTAAGATTTTAATTTAATCTATGAAAAATTTGAATAATCTAATAGCTTCCCAGATATACAAAATTTTGTATTAAATTCGCCCGTTATTCTCTAAATGTTCTTCAGTAAAATTTTAAGATTCTAGCTGTAATAGCTTCTCAGATATACGAATTTTTCTATTTAATTCAAGCCCCCCAGATGAAAGTCCGCCCTTTTTTCTCCAAAATGTTCAGATGAATATTAAAGTTCTTCGTGCAAAATTTTAAGAATTTAGTTCTATCAGTTTCCCAGATAAACAAATTTTTGTATTTAATTCATATGGGAGGTTCCGCTCCACTCATTGGTAGTCCCCCAATTTATTAAATGTTTACATGGATGTTAAAGTTCTTCCAGAACAACATCATTGAAAGGGATCACAAAGAGATTGAAAAATATTCCAAAAGTTTCACTTTGAAAACATTATTAGAGTGTATGAAAACTCGCAACCCTAAAGGCAGACTATTCCTATTTTAGCGGTAATTTATGATTAAAATAAGTAAGAGTTATATTCGGTAAATCATATGTCGTAAAAAAGCAAATTTTTGAATATGTCATATACATATGTATATATATATGGACTTTGATCATTAGATTAATAAGAACGTCACCGTGATTTTCGGATTAGGGGCTTAAATGTGGAATTGGATCAATTATGGACAAAGTTCTCTATAATTTAAAGTATTGTTTTTAATTCTACCATAATTCTATCATAATGATAACTTTTGGAATGATGTATTAGCTATAAACTGATTTTCTGTAAGAGGGTTATATTGGCGGACCGATCCTCTTAATTTTATTTTTCATAAATGTAGGTTTCGGTTCCTAAAAATGTTTTTTTCGTAGACAACGACATTTGAAAGCCATTTATGTGCGTTTAAGTCATTTTCTGAAGAAGATTTCATATACATATTTACATTACATATTTTCGTTTCAACAAAAATTGTTTTATTATGGTATTATTAAGTACATAGAAAACGTTAAAATCAATTATTGAAGAGGGCAGGGTCAATTATGGCCTATAGAGATTTCGATTGATATCGAGCCCTTTTTGCAAAATGGATGTAAGCGAGATAAATTTTCGTTCAATTAGGATACTGCGTGTTTAATTTTATGTTTATATATTCAATATTTTAGAAAATTCAAAAAGTATTAGTTAAAGAACGGAAAATTACCAGAAATACTCCATTTTAAATTTTCATTCACTCAAGTCTCTGATTGCTTAGTTTTGTGTTTTTAGGTTCATTATAATAGAAAATTCAAATAAAACCAGTTGAAGAACGAAAAAGTTCCAAAAAGTCCCGTTTTATATGTTCTCACTTACTCCATGCCCTACAGGTTTAATTTTATGTCTATAGGTTCAATATTATAGAAAATTCAAAAAAAAAATACCTTTTGAAGAACGAAAAAGTACAAAAAAGTCCCCTTTTATATGTTATCACTTAATCCGGGCTTCCTAATTTCATGTTTCTAGGTTCAATATTATAAAAAATTCAAAAAGTACCAGTCGAAGAACGAAAAAGTACCAAAAGGTCCCCTTTTATATGTTATCACTTAATCCGGACTGTACATTCTTAATTTCATGTTTCTAGGTTCAATATTATAAAAAATTCAAAAAGTACCAGTCGAAGAACGAAAAAGTACTAAAAAGTCCCTTTTTATAGATTATAAATTAAAGTTCCCATTTTATAGATTCTCATTTACTCCAGTCTCTAAGTGCTTAATTTCAAAAAGTACCAGTCAAAGAACGAAAAAGTACCAAAAAGTGCCATTTTATAGATTCACATTTACTCCAGGCTCTACGTGCATAATTTCATGTTTCTATGTTCAATTTAATAGAAAACTCAAAAAGTACCTTTTGAAGAACGAAAAAGTACCAAAAAGGCCACTTTTATAGATTCTCAAGCAGTGTGACCAGGTCTCAAAAAATGTTGCGGCTAAATCCCATCCAAAATAATGCTAGAAAAAATGCTAAATTGATTTTAAAATGCCAAAAAAAAAAAAAAAAATGCTAAAATTTTTTAAGTGTTTTTATGAACAATTCATATTAATTTCTAACTGAAATTCATTGTAATTTAGAAAAAATTTTAGAAAAAAAAAAGTAAGAAAGTATATTCTGCCGTGGTTGACCATATGAGTATAAAATTTGATTTATTTTTCTTAATAAAGCATTTATGTTGAATTGAACCTTGGTTCCGATATTTAAACTAATTTTCTGAGAAAGGCTTTATACATTTGTATATGTATGGGGGCTAGGTAAAATAAAGGACGGACTTTAACCATTTTTAAAAGGTTTTGTCATTGGATCAAAAAGCATACGTGCTTATTGTTTTGAAAATTTCAACCTCTACCAGACGGTCTGACTTACATGGCTTAATCGATTCAGATAATGATTCTTAACCGATTAGTATACTCAAACGTAGTATAGTGGAGTAGGGTAAAAAATTAAGTTCCGTGGTACTAAGATAAACAGAAATGCTAAAAATTATTTCAAAATTTTTGTAAATTTAACAATATGTAATGTCTCTAACTTTAAAATATTTCTGAATGCAAAAATTACATTAAAACTCTATTAATTACACTAGTTGCTCATGGTATAAAACCTATACATATGTGTTTTCGGAAGGAAATGTATAATATTTCTAGTTTTACTTTTTTATATAAACAATTTTATTTGTCAAAATTATACAGTGTCTCACATAAATATTCGAATTTATTATTTTTTATGAATTACTGTGTTATTGTATGATGCTACTTTAAAAATAATAATAGTATTTAAAATTTTTTAATGAAATTTTATTAATTTATATTATTTTTACAAAATACAAGAAAAAAGTAATAAAAAATCATTAATGGTTTCCAAGAAAATGGAAAAAACCCAAAAAGGGTCATTTCAGGTACTGCGCAAAAATATTCGAATTTTTTCTAAGAACTTTATTAGAATCCTTGAACACGTGTTTTATTGCCCATTAATTAACCCATTATGCAGGTAGTGGTTATATGGAATATTTAACATTATATTTTTTGGAAATTTGCATAATTATGTTGTAAATCCTTCCTGTGTAAGCGCTTAAAATGTTCAAAGAAAAAGAGTTGATCAATTCAAATTAAAAAATTAATTTATATCTGTATAAACAAGGCCGATCAATTAAATATATATAGGAAATGGTTGATAGATTCCCATCGACAATATATTTTGTCATTACACGCATGGAACAAAGAATTCCATCGAGTATTTACCATTATCAAGTCGTCCAAAACTGCTGTCAATACAGGACGACAGAGAAATACTGAAGAAATACCGAAAGAACCTTCATCTATCAGCTCCAAAAATTAACAACGAACTCATGACAGTCCTGTGAATAAAAATTAGTGTCGAAATTGTGCGCAAAGTACTAGGGAGCAATAATTCGCATGGTCAAGTACCAAGGTGGAAACCGCTCATATATCGAAGTTAATCGATGTTAAGTGTCTTGACTCCGCAAATAGACTCATAAGTAAGAATATTGGATTCTGGAAGGAGGTTATCTTCTACGATTAGAACAAATATAATATTTTTGGCTCTGATGGTCGTCAAATGATATGGCGAAAGCTTGGAGATGCCTTGGAATTATCTAACTTAAAACCAATTTTAAAGGACCCAAGTTGCTCTGCCATATTTTGGGGTTCTGTGTCCGTCCACGGTGTTGGACTGCTAAAATTTATTATTGTAATTATAGACTAGAAGGTCCACTTGTCAATTTTAGAGCAGAATTTGCATGCTAGTACCACCAAAATGGGGCTACAACCCATTCAATTTATTTTTCAACAGAAAAACGATCCAAAATACACGACCTGGTACGTGAAAATGTTGATCATTAACAACACTAAGTATCTTCTTTCACCAAATTTTCAATGGAGTTAATGTCTGGACTTAAACTCCATTGAAAATTTGTGGTTATATTTACAAGAACAACTTTTAAATCACTCATTATCCTCTAAAACCACCATACGGTTGCTTTGCATGAAGAATGGGACATAATAACGCCAGAACTATTCCATAAATTGGTAGAAACGGTCCCACGACGCTTGGAAGTTGTTTTTAAAAACAAAGGCTACTATACAAAACATTAATTTCATTTTAATTATTTATTTTTACTTCATAATGCTAATCTAAACATGATTTATACAAAAAATTCGAATACTTTTGTGAAGCTATTTTTTGCACTTTTTTAAAAAAAAGTTAAATTAGTTTATGTAAATATTTTTTTTTTAATTTTTAAAATGTGGCATAGAATTTAAGGACTGTCTGGACAACATAATAAATTTATTTATTTTTCCCACAAAATCTATTATAAAATGATGTCTGTTTTCATAATACATTAAATTCGAATACTTATGAGAGACACTGTATGTTTCATTCCATGAGCAAACAAAAAGTATTAGTTTGTAAAATAGCGTACTGAACGTATTTGTAAAAATATATGAAATCTCTTGAATTATTTCTACCACCTCGAATTTAAAAAAGCATTGGGTTCCAGAAAAATATTTTAGAATACAACATTTTAAAGTATTCACTTGTATTGGCGTAATTTTAAGTTAATTATCTTCATGAATCTTTTTGCATTATTTTGAATTACAGTGTAAATTATTAAATTTCTCATATTTCTTGTTGCTTGTGTTTGAGTAGACATTTAATTCTGATTTTTTCCGGTTAAACCTATTTCCAATATAAATCTTTTTTGCAAAAATTTTTCTTTTTTTTGTTTATATACTAAAATTGCAAAAAAAAAAGCTAAAAATGCTAAAAATATTTTATAAAAATGCTAAATAAAATGCCAAATGCTAAATTAAAATTTTACAGCTAAATCAAAATAAAAAATGCTAAATCTAGCTGCAAAAATGCCAAAATGGTCACACTGGATACATGGGGTGCAAAAGAAGTACCAAATTACAGTTTCTACCCGTTTATTCCCCAAAGGGGCCGAATTTGAAAAAATTACCGGACACCTGTCCGCTTTTTTTTAAATGAACGACGATAAGCTTTAACTGTTTTTGTAACTTTTCTAGTTTAGGAGATTTGAGGTAACCGAATTTACGTTTTTACCCTTTTTTAAACATCAAAAATTTGAATTTCCAAAAATCCCGTCTTATTGGATACATTTGGTGGGAGACTAACATCCTGCCCAAATTTCAGCTCTTTAGCTTCAAGGCTCTAGGCTCTACGATGATGAATCAGTCAGTCAGTCAGTAACGTTAGAGTTTTATATACGTATGTATATATATAGATTTCGTGCATTGAATTATACTGTAAAAACATTGTAATGTTCGACTTGAATTCAAGTTTCGTTTTCACTGGAGAATGCTATTGAATTAAAGTGTAATGAAAGTGTATTTCAACACTTGAAATTTGAATGTTTGACTGGAATTAAACTTGTTTTGAACTTTAATTCCAGCAAGAATGCTTATTTGGTGTAGTGTGACAACTATAAGGGATCTAAAGTCGACATAAAGCCCACAATGGTTAGTACCAATATTTTGCCCAAACAACATCTAGTACATACCTAGCCAAGTTATATCCTCTAGGTCCGTGAAGACATTCTCTACAAAGCTATAAATTTGTATAAAAGGCGGCTTAACAATTGTTTCTTGTAAATATTCGGCCACCATAGTGTTTGGAGACAACAAGAGCTTCACTGAAAGGCACACCTGACAGACATCGCGCTCTATTATGGGTGTAGTATGGTAGTGATTCTGCTGAGATCAATGGTATAATAATAAGTATGTATCCCAAGGAGACCCCCTGAATACGGCAATCAGCTTCCTTCCATTGCCTCTAGGTGATAATATACCATGTCACCACTAGCCGACCGACCACCACCCGCCTAGGTGACTAGGGAGGTATACAATTGCATTCTTCCAGGAGACCATCATGATGCCACCTCTTTCTTGAAAAGAAAGACGTTCTTTATAGACAAATAAATAATTAATTAACACCATTACTTACATTTTTTAATCTTCTAGATCTCACTAATATGCCAAATCTAGATTTCAATAAACACTTTTGGGTATTAAACGAAAACAAACCCCGCCTGGAAAAACATTTTCATCATAGTTATTAACAATTTAACTAAATTAAACCCAACGCTTGCTGTTTCTTTGCTCAATGACCCTCGGTATAGTAGTATAGCATACAATCTTATTAATTTCAATTTTTAGTAAAAAATTATTTTTTTATTTAAAGAATATCATTACTGTCATTTTAGATTTTTGCACACACACAACAACAGATTTTTTTTGCAAATAAAAAATGCAGAAAACAGTTTGGCGCGAAAAATTCTAGCAGAATTTCTTTTCGCAGTCGGCAGAATTGACATCAACTGCACTTCCCATTTAAAATACACATGTTCGATACCCTAGCCCTTTACGGTATGACATACCAGCAATGTAAAAAGGTATAGCTCCGGTTGACGTCAACGAAGCTAGTTTGAAGTAAAAGCAGCGACTCGAATTAGGCGCGTAAAACACGAAAATATCTGAGGCGAGGCATATACATCGAACGTTGAGCAAAGTTCTACACCGGTCAAATTACAATGAGCGGCTTATTATGAGATAAAAGAAAACTTGCTTCAATGAAAACAAATTAATTTTATATTGTAAAATTCCATAAATTTAGCGAAAGTTTTCTGTAAATTGTACAAAATATGGCGGAATTTTCAAGCCGTATTAAGCTGAAAAATTTTCGTCGGCGGCGGCTTTGACATTTTGTTCGGCGGCTAGGCTTAGTCGGCTTAAGCCGATTCTCGGCGCAAGTCTCTGATACAAGTATAAACAGTTGGTTTTTTTGACATTCGAGTCTCGATGTAAAATTTCTCAAGTGATAAAGAACAACTCTGCTTTAATGTTTAATATCGATAACATAAAATTTTTGAAATATAATAAAATTTTGTATTTTTTAGTTATTGTGGGTATTTTTTGCTATTTAAATTAGTTTGCATTCCCAAAAGTTAAAAAATATGCAATTTGCAAATTATTCTCTCTTTTTTGTGTTTTTCTTTTATTGTTTTAAGTTTAAGCACCCCTGTTTTTATGCAATTTTTCATTGGTTCTTGTCTTTACTAAACAGCTGTTAAATATTTTGATTTGAAGAAGAAAAAGAAAATAGAAAATACACTTGCTATTTTAATATTAATTTATTTAATATTAAATTAAAATATTTCTACACTACCACCAAACCCCAAGAGTCATGATAGTTTTGCGTCGTTTGGCGCCATTTTCACAACATTTTTGCTTAAGCCAGCGTTTTTATGCCCGTAAAACGGTCACCACCATCGACGCCGATATGAAGCAGGTTCATCAGGAAACATTACGTTATATTAATCCGCACGCCTACATAAAAGTCATTTCAGATATTTACGTAAAGGTGTCTTCTGCCGATCCCCACAAATATCCCAATGGCGATGCTTTAATTGCGGAACTACACGGTGGTCCGGTAAAAAATTGTACCGCCTCAATGCAGGTGAAGGTAGCCGATGATGAAAGTAATGTGGAAATTATTTTGAAAAAATTAACAGATGAAACGGATTTTCATTGTGAATTGGCGGTGCCTATTAAGGCGGCTCTTAATATAAACTCAAAACATGGTGCATCGGTTAAGAACACATTTGGCGATGAGTTGAGAGTAAAGGCGGAGAAATTTATCAATACTACTAATGTAAGAGCAGAAAATATAGAACTGTTGAGCGCCGAAGGAGACATCAGTTGTAAGAAAATACTTTTAGGAAAAATGACGACGGTGGAAGCAAAAAATAAAGGGGTTAGTGTTATGGGAATTATTGGAGATATAAAATATGGTCTGGTTTTGATATTTTCAGAATATTATACTGGACAAACTACAGGGTGATAGTATAACATGTAAAACATCTCGAGGAAATATAACTACCAACTGTAGCTATGTGGAATCATCCAAATTTGAAACAGACACTGGTTGTTTGGACTTAAAAAATGTACACAAAACATCAGCCGTTTATTTGCATCAAAAGGGAGACCTTAAAATGAGTAAGATTTTGTTAAAAACAATATTTCTGAAATTGTCTAATTTTCCCTCTTTACAGCTGGCGTTCATGGTAACCTAAAGGTTTTTGCCAACGAAGGAACCATGTACTTGCAATTATCCGAGCTACAAGGTGAAAATACTATTGAGTGTAATAATCTCACATCGTCCACTATTAATATATCTGATGATATAGAGAAAAATACTCAACTAGAAGTTAATTTAAAGGGGGATACTAATACATCTGCTATAGCATTGGATAGCTCATTGGAGCATTTTTCAGCAGGTTTATCGGAGAATAAACAACAATTCAAATGGCCTTTAGAACAACAGCAGCAGCAGCAAAATCAGTTAAAGATTATTAGCAAAAGTTCGTTGACTTTAGGAAAATCATCATGGATGGAAATGATGAGTTTACAAATGGCCGAGAAGCAGAAATAATAAATCGTAAATAGTTGAAATAGTTTTAAACTATAGTTTTGTTTTGAGACTTGCTAGATTTAGAGGCATTACAGTAGAATGTTTTTGTAACCAAATTTTCGATATATAATCTTGTTTGTCAGACAAATACTAAACAAGTCGTGTCTAAAACCTTCTAATCTGGCAAGTACTTAAGATTATTATTTTAAAATAAAGTGCTTTTAAAAAGAAGACTTTTAATATAATTTAATATTGAGAACGAAAATATATTGCCATTTAAAGTAATCTATTTGGTTCAGCAAATCTGATGAAAAATCAAGATTAATTTATAATAGATAATTAAACACAATTAAATTTTCAATGTTTACATAAATCCATTCTAATGGATGAACTACTAAAAGGTAATCTATTATTACTGTTTATTTTTTTTTATAAATAATTTTACTGCCTGCATTTTATTATTATTCCAGAGCTTCTTTTAACTTGCCATAACAATTTTTCATATAATCTGTTTCCAGTGGCTGTTCAAATGATTCTAATAACTTAACACTATATATACGGGGACAGGCAGCAACATATTGTTTAAGTAAATCTTTGTCAGCTTTTAAAAGTAAATAATATAAAGTATTTAATATAATGGTGTAAGAAATTTGATGATCAATTTCATTATCATCATCATCATCGTCAGATTCAAAATCATTACTAGCAGCAGCAGTTTTTTGCAACTGTTTTTCTTGCTCTTTATCCACATGATAAAAGAGTTTAAGTAAATAGCTAAAAATGTCCAAATCTAAGGGTTGGGGTAAAACCTAGAAAGAAAATATTTAAGATTCAAGACATCTATGTGTTAAACCATAAAACTTACTCTCAATACATCATTTAATGTTTCCAAAACATCTTGTTCATATTGCTGCCAACTAGTTATGCTATCGTCTTCAGCCATAGGTCTTAAAATATCTTTGAAACATTTTATTATTTCATCATTACTAGTTTCGTAAGCATCTCTAGATAGCTGTTGGTATTGTGTTAATATACTGTGTATATTACAGAATGTTTGCTTGGCTTTGTGTATACTTTCAGGGATTTCGGTTGCATCATAGGAATCCTGTTTGTCAGCAGTCTCTTTTACCAAAGTCTTAAAAGCCTCTATGCTACACTCGATCATTTCTGGCTGCACAAACAATTCCTCAAAACTTGTTTTGCTTATTTCATCTAAACTCTTGCCATTCTCGGTGGCCAGTGATAGCTTGAGAACAAAAAATTTTGCCAATATAGCATTAAGTGTTTCCATAGTTTGTAAAATAAGAGAATTATTGGCTGCATTATTTAAAATAAAGCAAAGATTTTCCACAAATTTGTCCGATTTCAAGATTAGATTATACCATTTTTCTATTTGATCCTCTGACATTTTAACAAAAACTACCGCTAAAAGTCGCATTAACTGTTCCAGTGTCAAAGAGTCCATGCAGTTGGATAGATCTAATAGTGTTTCAATTACTTCTTTCTTTTCAGTCAAAAGATTTCTCGTTTGCTGCACATTACACATATTCCCCAGTATGCCTACCAATATTTCGGTTAAACGCTTATCATCGGTGGCTTTAATTATATTGGCAAAAAGTTCTAAAACATCATGTTTTAACAAATACTTGACTACATCTTCCTCCAGAGTCATATCCCACAGAGAACACAAATCCCTTTCAACTTCATCCTCTTCTTGCAAATCCTTTTCAAGTTGTCCCAGTTTTAGTAGAGTATTCAAGACAAAACGTTCACTGTACAGGGTATCACCAATAGCATCACCTTTCAAGCGTTCCAAATCATTTTCCTCGCAATCATTTTCTACCAAAGTGGGATTGTAGGAAGCCGGTTCTGTTTTATTGGCATCTTCGGTGTTATTGCTGCTTTGTGCCTTATCTGTTTCGTTGTATTTATTATCTTCATTATTGGTGGTAGACATTGTAGTTGATTGTTTTCTTAAATTATTTAATATTTCTTTATTTATAATCTTTTTTCTTGCAAAAAATCAAAACAAACTAAAAATGTTTGCCGTCAAAACATTAGTCACTGTAAAATGACTACCCAGACATGAATGTCAACAATGCAATCACTAGGAATTGAGGACACTTACGTTATCGTAATGTGAAATCGATAAGCGTTTTTACAGGGACCAAGAAAAATTGTAAAATATTAATAACTACTATATTAGCAGATAATTTTCGATATCAGTCAAACTTTTAATAGATTTCGAAAAATATGGAATGAAGTAACTTTCCCTTGAATGTTTTTGAACCTTTTTAGAATTTCATCTGACCATAAAATTTGCCATCACATGAGGTTTTCAAGGTATATTTTTCTTCATATTTCTGACGTTAAACAGTCCTTTATTTAGAATGTTATATCTAGTTCCTTCTTTGAGATATTCTAATTTAAAGTTTAAAATCCCTATAAATTCAGACGATAAATTACTTTCGCTTCATTTCGGCCATATTTTACATTGAGATATCGTCCGTTGAAGTTTTGAAGAAAAATAAAGGCAAAATCGTCTTTTAGTTTATATTTGATGTAAACACGGATTAGTATATCTTACAAAAAAGAACACGTTATAGTAGAGTTTGTCTCGGTGTTTTTCAAACGTTAGATTTCTCGAATGAGAAATTATGGCATCAAATTTGGAATCAGCATAACTCAATTCTTTAGTCTTTGTATTTTTTTCCATATTTGTCGGTATGGTAATTCTCCAATTTAGCAAATTTTTATATTGAGAACAAAAATGGATTGCTAGTAATTTAAACGCGCTACAAATAGCTGCCTCTTGATAAGGCTTCACAAATTCGTAATCGATCCTGACAAGTCCACTCAAAAAAATCGTAAATATAATTTGTTGTCATGCAACATTTAATTTTTTTTTACACAAAATTCCTAGTTGAAAAATAATTTGCAAACGATTCCTTCAACATATTAACATGTTCATTGTATATCAATTTCCATATAACCATCAGCATGTGTTAGATGTTTGGCTTCCAATAAAGAACCTTCTTCCACCACAAAATTAGCGCCAACCAAACAATTTTTCAATTTTGTGCCTTTTTTAACCACAGCCTTTGGACCAATAATACAATTTTCTATGTTGCAACTAGAAAAGGAAAAAGTAACAACAACTGAAAACTTAAAGATTTATACAACTTACCCTTCCTCTACAACAGCATGAGCCATTATCAAAGATTTATTAATAATATTTTTGGGATTAATAAAACAGTTTGGTCCAAAGACACTGAAATTCAGTGAAGTCTTTTCAGATAATTTAGCATTATCGGCCACGGCAATTTCTTTCGTTTGAGTAGAGTTTACAACTGCATTGGAAGATATTAAAGGTATTTCCTGGCCACCGCACAGCAAAGGCCAAATAGTGGAAAGCTATTTAATGGAAAATGTTTAAAAGGTTTAAAATATTTGCCTTAATTGAGGAGTTTTGTATTTACCTTTTGATTCACAGCAAAAAATGATAAAGTAGTATTAACTCTTACACCAATAGTTTCTTTGGGTGCTTCCAAAGCGTAACATCTTAGTAAGTCTCCATGATATAAAGGTTTAGTTTTGTTATCATTATAAAGAGTGATTTTTAAGATTAGTTGATCTAAAGTTGAGTTTGGAATAAACTAAGGAAAATAAGGAAATGTTATTAGAGAAAATTTCAGTAAAAGTTGGAATCTACAAAATTAGAATTTTGAATGTCGTTATCATACGGAGAACTTAATCAAAAAATAATATGGAACACCTTACCCCAAATATATTTTCCTCTTGCTTGATACTAGTACCCAATTCAGATTGAGTATCTGATACATGATTAGCATTACCGCCAGTTCCGGCAGCTCTGGCCATTTGCTTTTTAACCAAATAAGGTAAAAATTCTCCCTTTAAAGTGGAGAAGTGTTCTTTCTAAAATATAAAATGTCTAATTATCAGTTAAAATCAATCAAATATTAAACTAAACTTACCTTTTCCAAATAATCCAGCACCCATTTCTTGACAACATAAATATGTGAGTCCGTTAGTCTGGAGAAGATTGTCATCTTACCATTCTTACGCAAAAGATGAGCATTAACATTCATTACCTCTTCGAAATCACTGGCTGAAGCCAAAAACAATAGACGTTTTGTCTCCGGATGTATGCCAATTAAATCTCTTTCAGGTTTGTGTTTAGTTTTTGGTCCGGGCAAAGTAACATCCGATTCAAAACCACTCTTAAATAACAAAGCCGTCAAAGAAGCATCATGTTGACGGAATTTATTGATCAAGGGATACAAAGAAACATTGGAAACAATGTCACAACTTAAAATCAAAAAGTCGGACATGATTTTGTCGCGTATATAACGCAAACTGTCGGCAGTGCCAAAATCACTGTCGGAGGGTATGCTAACAATGTCCAATTTCATTTTTAATGACAAACGTTCCAAAGCTAGCTGAATTTCGGAACGTTCACTTTCCAAAACCACAATAATGGTTTCTGTAAATAAAGTCGACATTTTTTTATACATTTTTAAGATTTTTGTATAAAAATTTACCTTGGAAATTGTGCTGCTGCAATAGATTTAAAGGATACCATATTAAAGGGTAAGGTCCTATGGGCAGCAAACATTTGGGAGTATTTCCCAAGACTTCGGGCAGGCGAGTACCTCTACCAGCAGCTAAGATCACTGCTTGAAATTCTTGTGTTACCATTTTTGTGTAGTTTTAATGCAAATAATTAACATTTATTTTAAAACTTTTTTTATGAAATATTTGCTTTCGCATGCAATCAGAGCCCTGCGCCGACAAATATTAACGGCGGTGGTGGCTGACACTAAAAATATCGACGTCGTCTTAAAATCGACTGTAAGCCGGCTAAGTTCTCAAATACGTTTAATTTTTAAATTTTCAAAGATTTTAAATAAAAACGGAATCCGAGAGATAAAAAAGTGGGATATTTTTGGTGACTTTTTGAATTAAATTTTTTTCAGTTGTTTATCAGGGCGAGGCTATACCCAACACATTTATTGTATCTTTTTTTAAAGTAAAGTATTACGTGATTTGCAATTTTTATTTCCTGTATATGTACTGAAATATAAACCTATAATACAATTAAATAAGGGATACTGTTATCGCTGGTAGATCACATTTCATAATTCAATGATAAGCTTATCGCAAAGTTTATCAAATTGTAAGCTAAACTGTTCTCGTTTGAAAGGGCTAAAATAATATACATACATATTTCCGAAAACCTTTATTCATTCGTCTTCAATACGTTAATTCTGTTAATTTTAGATTAATATGAACGTCAGCGTGATTTTCCGATTAGGAACTTCAATGAGGGATTCGGTCATTTACGGACGGATAATTTAAAGTATTTTTTAATTCTATTCCTTCAAATCGAAACTCATTTACTCATTTCTTCTAAATTTAATTTGTATTCTTGATGATACAGATGCAAGTACAACAAATGATCGGAAGGAATACCTTCAGATAAACGTTTTTTTTCTTTTATAAATAAATTATATAGTGTGACAACTCTAAGGGATCTAAAGTCGACATAAAGCCCACAATGGTAAGTACGAAGCATTGCAATAAAATAACAAACACCAATATTTTGCCCAAATAACAACAACAGGTTATATCCTCTAGGTCCGTGAAGACATTCTCTATAGCGGGATAAATTTGTATAAAAGGCGATTGAATAATTGTTTCTTGTAAATATTCGGCCACCATAGTGTTTGGAGAACTGAAAGGCACACCAGGACATTTTTTTGGTATTAGACAAAAACAAACCCCGCTTTGAAAAACATTTTTCTCATAGTTATTAAAAACCTGAAACCCGCCTGTTTCTTTGCACAATGACCCTCAATTGTTATTAAAGAATTATTTTTTTATTTAAAAAATATTATTAGAACAGATTTTTTTTTGCAATTAAAAAAAGCAGAAAACAGTTTGGCGCGAAAAATTCTAGCAGAATTTCCTTTCTATAGTCCAGATTAGACTATTTTCTAGTTTATAGTCCAGACTATAGTCTAGTCTATAGTCCGGTCTATAGTCCAGACTAAACAATTGTATAGTATATAGTAAAAACTAGACTATTGTATAGTCTATAGTCCAGACTATAGTCTAGTGTATAGTCCAGACTATATTCTAGTCTATAGTCCAGACCTATAGTCTAGTTTATAATTTAGACTATAGTCTAGTCTTTACTTTAGACTATAGTCTACTCTATAGTTTAGACTATATTCTAGTCTATAGTCCATACCATAGTCCAGACCTATAGTCTAGTCTATAGTTTAGTCTAGTCTATAGTTTAGACTATAGTCTAGTGTATAGTTTAGACTATCCAGTCTATAGTTTAGACTAAAGTCCAGTCTAAACTTTAGACTATAGTCTAGTCTATAGTTAATAGTTAGTCTGCAGTTTAGACTATATATAGTTTAGTCTATAGTTTAGACTATATTCTAGTCTATAATAAAGACTTTAGTCTAGTCTATAGTTTAGACTATAATCTAGTCTAGACTTTAGTCTTCTCTATAGTTTAGACTTTAGTCTAGTCTACAGTTTAGACTAAAGTCTTATCTATAGTTTATACTAAAATCTAGTCTAGTCTATAGACTAGTCTTTAGTTTAAACTATAGTCTAGTCTATAGTTTAGACTATAGTCTATAGTTTAGACTATAGTCTAGTTTATAGTTTAGACTATAGTCTATTCTATAGTTTAGACTATAGTCTAGTCTATAGTTTAGACTGTAGTCTAGTCTATAGTTTAGTCTATAGTATAGTTTTAGGATAGTCTGGTCCCCAGTCCAGTCTATAGTCTAGAATATTTTCTAATCCATAGTACATACTATGGACTTGATTAAACTTTGGACTAAAGTCTAGTCTACAGACCAGACCGTAATCTAGTCAGAGAAAGTAGACTATTAAATACCAAACTAATGCAATTAATTATTGTATATAAAAAAACGTTTATTTTCATTTTGTTTATTAATATATATATCTTTTTAAAATAATTCAAATCTACTAGAATCAAAAACTTAAAGATTAAAAACATTTAAAATAAATCTCATAAGTTCTTTCGTTTATTTATATTTCTTTTTTTGTTGTATGGGACTATTCGCGCAGTATTTTGTTAATAAAAAATTAAATTAAACTTATCAAATCTAAAAGAAGTAGAGTATTACTCAATAGTTAATATACTCTCATAAAGCATACGAAAAAATAAAACATATGATGAAAAAAATAAAATAATAAAATTAAATATACATATAATTACAATAAAATTGCAAAAGTATTGTTTTTTCGTGCTACAAGCAAAACATTAAAAAAAATAATCAAAATAAAATGTTTAAATAAAAATTAATGAAATATTTCCGTAGAAAATAGTTTAAATGAGGATATTAAGTTAAGAATGAAAACTAAAGTAGACTTTTAGGGGTTCAAAAAAGGCCTCTGCTCTCCACTTTGATCTTGATCAGAAACTCTCGTTTACTTTCTCTCGTATAAATACTCATCCTCATAGTAACGCGGTGTTGTGCTTGCTATAAAGATCTGAGGACGTCTCTGCTGCAGGGAAATGTTAATTTCTTCGGGTGTACGATACACCTGTTGTTGGTTCTGTTGCAAGTGTTGCAATTGTGGTGCAGCGGTAAAGTAACGATAGGGCGAGGGTGTTACAGTGGGTGGAGGTGCTTGATTACGTATCTGTTGGATTTGTGGTTGAATTTGAGGTTGAATTGTGGTTACTGGCAATGGTTTACGATAGACTGTGGTCTGTTGGGGTTGCGAGATTTGCTGCTGTTGCACAGATTGATGACGTACCTGTTGTTGCTGTGGCACAGATTGTGATCGTTGATATTGAGGCTGTTGTTGTTGATGGAATCCAACTTGGAGCTAAAGAGAAACATAATTTATTATAGAAACTTTAAGTTAAATTAGTTAATTTGCTTAATACTCACTGGTTGTCTGTGATGTTGTACACGTGGTCTGGGTGCCTCTTCCTCATCTTCATAACGATCATTGTCATAGTAACTCTCGGGATAATAACGTTCCGAATAGCGCAATGTTACATTGGGTTTACTTTGATGTTCTTGCAAATTGACAGGTTTGTATAGATATTCATTGACAATATGATATTTGGATGACTGTTGGCAAATGTTATCATTTGAGGGTGGCATACAAATCAAATGTATTTGATGGAAGGTAAAACCTTCGGGACAGATCCAAGAGTGACGTTGATTTTCCTGACAATAATGGAAGACTTCGCAGTTGAGTGTATCATCAGCATAGTAACTGGGAAAGAAAAGAATTATGTATGGTTAATTCAGTTATATAAATTGATTAAGTTTCGAAAAATATAAAACTTTCTGGGGCGAATATCCTTAATAGTTTAAACCCGATATTCTCAGAATTTTTGGTGAAATCATAACTGTTACTGTTCTCAATATTACTTATGTAGCTATTGACTAATATTTTGACTAGTTGGTAATCTATAGCCCAGTATATTGACTAGTTTACTGAGCAATATATTAGATTGTCTGTGGACTAGTCTATTGACTAGACTTAGACTTATTGACATGGCTTAGGACTAGTCTATTGGCTAGACTTTGGGCTATTCTATTGATTAGACTTTTAAATGAACTAATAACTAGTTCACAGACTAATCTTTAGACTAGACCAAAGTCTAATCAACAGATTAGTCCAAAGTTTAGTCAATAGACTAGTTCAAAGTCTGTGTGTCGAAAGCCTAGTCAATAGATTATAATCTGGACAATAGACCGATCCATAGACTAGTCAATACATTAGTCCATAGACTAATTCATAGACACGTCAATATACTGGTCCATAGACTAGCTTATAGCCAAAGTCAATATCTACCTAGCCATAGACTACCCTTTACGCTAATCAATAGACTAGTTTATAGACTTATCCATAGACTAGTCAATAGCCAAGTCCACAGACAAGCCAATATATTGATACATAGGCAATAGACTAGTCCAACGCCTAATCAACAGACTAGTTCAAAGTTTAGTCAATAGACTAGTTCAAAGTATGTGTGTCGAAAGCCTAGTCAATAGATTATAATCTGGACAATAGACCGATCCATAGACTAGTCAATACATTAGTCCATAGACTAGTCTAATCTATTGAATAGTCTACGGACTAATGACTGTTCTATGAACTATCTATTGACTGGTCTATGGACTAGTTAATGGAAAAATCTGTGGGTTAGTCTTCTAACAAGTTTATTAAATGAAATCCCCCGTTTTTAGGGTTTGTTTGGTATTGAAAATGAGATCCATTATTTAACCTGGCAATAGTTCCCCCAGCTGTTTGATCTCTCATCAATTTATTGAGAAATGTTGTTAACATGTTGCACAAGCTAGGTCCAGAAGTAATTGTATTAAGTATGGTGGTAATCGGGCTATAACTGGTTCTAGGCTCTAATAAGGTCGCATTCGAAAAATTACTTTATGAAATTAGAATTATATGTACCACCCTAATGTGCTAATATTTTAAAATCCCCACCATTCATTTCAAAACTTACCCAGTAGTTTTGCCATTGCAGGCAAATTTCGATTGAGCCAACAACAATGATAGTCTATCGGGCTCCTCTTCCTCCTCCTCAGTCTCTTCTTCGCTTGACTGTTTCTGTTTAGAATTTGCTCTTGCACTCTGATAGTTTTGTTGTTGCTGCTGTTGTTGTTTACGTGTTTGATACTGTTGCCGAGGGGGTTCCTCTTGATCCTCCTCCGACTGACTATAATCGTAGAGCGGCTGTTGTTGTTGTTGCTGCTGCTGCTGGTGATGTTGCTGTTGTTGTTGCTGCAGGTAATGCTGCTGCTGTTGTCTGTAGGCTAAATGTGTTTGAGCCTGAGTTTCGAAAACATCATCGACAGCATCATCTTCGTCGGCGGCAACTATGGAACGTGATTGAAAGCCTTGTGGCTTGGCTGTTGTAGCTGAGGCTGTGACGCTTGTAGTTTCGGCCGTCTGACTGTAGCCTATAAAACATGCCAAGGAGACTAGTAGGAAATAATTGAAACTGTAAGTAAAGAGAGAGGAAACGAGTTGGGGGAATTAGTTTATGGTTTTGTTTATTTAAAATTTTGAATGTTAAACACAATATTTAAAGTGCTTTGTTGTTTAAGTGTTTTATTAATTTAGTATTTATTATTATTTTTAAATTTTGATTAAATATTTGGTGAAAGTTAATCAAAACCTTATTGAATAATTGTTTTAAATCCAGTAGTAGTTTTTCTTTTAATTTTGTTTAGGAACTATCACCTTTTGGCAATTGTTTTGTTATTTTAAGGTTAATATTTAAACGCAAAACATGGAAAACTTAACTTTTTTAATTTTCTTATGTTGTAAATATTTTGGAAAATTGACAAAGTTAAAACCTTCATGTTGAAAAAAAAAACATGATCAATGTAATCATTGTTTCCATGTTTTTTTATTTTTTAATTTTATTTAACACATTTTATGTTCCATCAGTCACCTGTGGTTTAAATGGTATTTTTATTGTGACACAGTGGGTCAATATATGTTATATAATTGAAACGCATGTATATGTGTGAATGACTAATTTATAGTTAAGACTACATACAGGTCTATATTGTAGAACAAGTGATTTCTATAGACAGGCCTAGTCTAACAGTAAACAGTTCTATAGTCAATACTTAATACTGACCTGTATAGTCGTGTCTGTACAGTCGTGATTTACAGTCCTCACAATAGACATATCAATAGTCAATTCTTATAACTGTTCTGAACAGTTCCATAGCTCAGTTTTTAGACTGATCTGTTTTCAAGTCTATAGACTGATCTATAGTCAAAACTTTAAACTGATCTATAGTCAAGTCAACAATTCCGCATGCTGTAAATAATTGCAGTGACAATCCCACTGTTCACATATTGCTGGAGCTTCTTCATTTCTGTCGGTAAGTGCTATTTTTTATTTTCTGTCGTTTTTTAGCAAAAAAAACCTAACATGCAATAAATGAAACATCTTTATGATATGGGAAAATTCCTGAACGAGACAAAATAGTCGAAAAAAATTACCTTTAGTGACTGACTACATTTTACAAAACAACCAAATAATAGAAAAGTGCGCGGGAAAATTCATTTTTTAGGTTTCTTTTTTGCGCTCTACACACATAAATGTAACGTATGTATATAAAAGTACTTGCTGACCAGGTTGCCATATGTTTGCGTTTTATATTGTCAATAATGTGGGTTTGCGTTTTAAAATGGTTAAAAGTTAATGGATGAAAATTGTAATTTATATCTATATCTAGATATATCTATATAGACAGATCTATTGTCAAGACTATAGACAGATCTATACAGATCTATAGAATAATCTATACAGAACAATAGAATAATCTATGGTCAAGACTATAGACTGATCTATAGTCTATACTATAGCCTGATCTATAGTCAAGCTATGAACTAGTCAAGACTATAGACTGATCTATTTTCAAGACTATAGACTATAGACTGATATATAGTCAAGACTATAGACTGATCTATAGTCAAGACTATAGACTGATGTATAGTCAAGACTATAGATCTATAGTCAAGAATATAGACTGATTTATAGTCAATACTATAGACAGATCTATAATAGTAAAGACTATAGAAAGACTATAGACTGATCTATAGTCAAGACTATAGACTGATCTATAGTTAAGACAATAGACTGATCTATGGTTAAGACTATAGACTATAGAAAGATATATAGTCAAGACTGTAGAAAGATCTGTAGTCAAAACTATAGACTGATCTATAGTCAAGACTATAGACTGATCTACAGTTAAGACTATAGACTGATCTTTAGTCAAGACTATAGACTGATCTATAGTCAAGACTATAGACTGATCTATAGTTAAGGCTATAGACTGATCTATACTTAAGACTATAGACTGATATATAGTTAAGACAGAACTATAGTCAAGACAATAGACTGATCTATGTCCAATCTATAGTCAAGACTATAAACAGACTATAAACAATACTATAGACTAATCTATAGTCAAGACTATAGACAAATCTATACACAGAAAAAAATAACTAATATTAACAAGTAATTATATAAAATTGTTTAACTGTTAACTGATATTGTTAACAATTTTTTTATTAAAAAGTTTGTAAATTATCATATTGACAATTTTCATAAGTTGATTAGAAATATTATATCAAAAAATTAAAAATAAATGAAATTAAAAGTCAAAAGTAAGAAACAATTGTTTCTATAAATTTCTTTTATAAGAAAAATAAAATATGGATGGCTGAGGAATGGAATTGCGCTAAACTACGAGGTAAGACTAGTTATTGAGTTCACACAAGCAGCTATTACATTATCTGAGTTCTCATTTGAGTTGTACAGCCATTGAATTCATATCTCTTTAAAAGTTATTTCAAGTTGATGGTTTTGGAATGTCCTATGCTAATAAAACCTTATACAAGTTCTTTAAGCATACGACTCAAAAGCACAGACAATGTAAAGGCAGCTTTATATTGGACTACACATATACATATAATTAAACTAATCAATCATCTTTTACTTTTTAAGATTGTGAAACTTCCTGGTTAAGTTGGTGGTATCCATTGGACACATTTTGAAACACCCACTAAATTTAATTTCAGAACACTGCATTTGCGATATATTCGTTACCATCATAAGCCTTCCCAACCGGGACACTGGTTTTAAATTTGTATATCTTAAGATAACAATTTGATAATGTAAAACTCCTAGCCAAATACGTTACAAATCTGGAAGCAGGAAGAATAGGTAGATCATATGTTTTTCCTTTTATACACTTTGAATTAGATATTCAATAATATTTTAAATAAAACTTGTCTTAATAGACTACAAAAATGGTTGTAAATGCAGTAACGAATTCTTTAACTGGGTACGATGTTTGTTCAAGATTCATAGCTTAGTGCAGAGTTATTATAAATTACAGTGGCCAACAAAATTTATAAAAAGTCGAACCCCAGAGACCAAAGTACACTTTTCTAAACTCAAATTTCTCTATCACATTAGGATTGGAGACGCTATAACATGGCAATCACATCTTTATTTATATTCTTGTGTCGTCTGAAAGTCCAATCTTTCGTCTTTTAAATAAAGGTTTAACTTCGTAATATTTTCTTCCTACTTTGAGATATCATAATCCAAAGTAAAAAACAGCTATAAATTCAAAAAATAAATTGTCTTTATTTTACAGCAAACATTTCAGCGGAAAATTCAAAAAGTATTATATATATTTCGATGAAAAAAAGATATATCTGAGGTTAAACCTTTATTTTAAAGTCGACAGATCGAACACTAAGACAACATAACAAATTTTATAAATAAAGATGTCTTCGCGCTGTTATAACGGCTCAAATATGGCCACAACGGGAACTTTTGATCTTAAAAACACGATATCTCGAAGTCAGCTTTGGATTCAGCGCAGCTCAATCCTTTAGAAAAAAATATTTTGGCATTTGGGTTAAAATTTGTTAGCCTGTGTTATCTAAAACAAAGTAATTTGTAAAACCATTTATCTAAAATTTATAATAAAAATAATAGAAATGATATTAAAATTGCATTTTTTATTTAAAAAAATATGACAAATTTATTATAGAAAGTAAAATTAACCACCAACAGTATAATTGTTCAGTATAATAAATCCATTGTTTAAATAAAATTGTTGGTTGTCAACAATATAGTAGTTCTATTTTACAAACTAGTTGTTGAAAAATATTGTTAAAAGTTAACAATTTTAAATAACAAAAATATTTTTTGTATGCACAAAAACCGTTGTTGGTGCCTTTTCAATTAATAAAATAATTGTATTTACAAATTTGGTTATTAATATGACAATTGATTTGTCGTAATTTTTTTCTGTGATAGTCAAGACTATAGACTGATCTATAGTCAAGACTATAGACTGATCTATAGTCAAGACTATAGACTGATCTATAGTCAAGACTATAGACTGACCTATAGTCAAGACTATAGACTGATCTATAGTCAAGACTATAGACTGATCTATAGTCAAGACTATAGACTGATCTATAGTCAAGACTATAGACTGATCTATAGTCAAGACTATAGACTGATCTATAGTCAAGACTATAGACTGATCTATAGTCAAGACTATAGGCTGATCTATAGTCAAGACTATAGACTGATTTATAGTCAATACTTTAGACTGATCTATAATAGTAAAGACTATAGAAAGATCCTTAGGCTGATCTATAGTCAAGACTATAGACTGATCTATATTTAAGACTATAGACTAATCTGTAGTCAAGACTATAGACTGATCTATAGTCAAGACTATAGACTGATCTACGGTTAAGACTGTAGACTTTAGAAAGATATATAGTCAAGACTGTAGAAAGATCTGTAGTCAAGACTATAGACTGATCTATAGTCAAGACTATAGACTGATCTATAGTCAAGACTATAGACTGATCTATAGTCAAGACTATAGACTGATCTATAGTTAAGACTATAGACTGATCTATAGTTAAGACTATATACTAATCTTTAGTCAAGACTATAGACTGATCTATAGTCAAGACTATAGACTGATCTATAGTTAAGGCTATAGACTGATCTATACTTAAGACTATAGACTGATATATAGTTAAGACTGAACTATAGTCAAGACAATAGACTGATCTATGTCCAATCTATAGTCAAGACTATAAACAGATCTATAGTCAAGACTATAGACTAATCTATAGTTAAATGGATTGATCAATATCAAGTCTTTAGGCTAATTTATAGTCAAGACTATACACTAATTTAAGTATAATTAAGACTGGTCTATAGTTAAGACTATAGAATGTCTGCAGCCATATCTATAGGCTAATCTACATTCTATAACTGATCTATAGTTAAGTCAATAGATTGATCTATATTCATGATTATAGTCATGTCTTGCATTGCTCGAATCTATATATAACAATATAAGCTGATGAAATGATAAGACTTTTTGCGTTTGTTAGGTGTTTTTGGTGATTTTGTATTAAATCTATGTGGCAACTACATCCCTAAGTTTGTATATTTTACAGTACTTGACTAAAACCCCTTTGGGATTTAGTAAAGTTGATTTTTTTTTTTTGAGAAAAATCTTTCTGAAGATGCAACAAATAAAAGAAGTCATACAACTTAGTTGTAGTTATTGTTGTAGTTGTTGTATATAGTCTAATGTTTTTTCTAACAAATACAATGATTATATATTATTAATATTATTTTTGTTGTTGTTAGTTAGCAACAACAACTTTGCAGCATTTGTCAGCCTCAAAGTCATAGTCGTTGTGTGTATTTATTTGTATTTTTTTTTTCTGCATCAAACTTTTTCTTCTTTTTTGTCTTTTTCAGTTATATTTTCGTTTTCAAGAAGATTTTTTGAGCAATATTATGCAATAGTAAGTTGTAGTACTAGTAGTAGTAGTAGTTAGTATGTCAGTTAGTCAGTCATTCAGTTAGTGGGTTTACTTTTCTTGTTTTTGTTCTCATTGTTGTGGTTTTTATTTATATTGTCGGTATTTGTATTTGATTTGTTTTAGAAATAGAAAACAACTAGAAGAAGTACCAAAATGTTTGTGGACTGGAAAAAAAGCCACAATTTGTTTATTTGGATTTCTTAAATTTTTGGTTTTATTTTGCTGAAGGTGTCATATATATTTCAGAGGTTGTTTTTTCTTAAAACAAATTTTATACTGATATGTGTAAATTTACCAGAAGGTTGCGTTTTTTGGTGGATGAATTTAAAACCCTCCATAAATAAGTGTTATAAGAATTTATTGGCTAAATTATTAAAAAGTTTTAAAATAAGATTAAATAACTTCTCAAAGGTAATGTATACTATTTTTGGGGTTTTGCTTCTTTATGGAGCAATGTAAAATTTGTAAACTTTTTATTTCAAAGCCCTCAAAATAATTAAATTAAAACTCGAAGAGTTGTTACTTCCATAGGTCATTTCATTTAACATTAATAAAGTTCATAATGTTTTCCTTTACATCCGGTTGAGCCCCAAAAAATTAATTAATTTAATAATAAAAATGTTAATTACCAACATATAATTAAAATAACAATTGTCTTAAAATATGTAAACAAAATTGTTTATATGCAAAACAAAAGACTTAAAACACAAACTTTGTTGCTGCTGCCTTTGATTTCTCAACCCAACAACAACAACAAATACCATTATTTTTTTATTAAATTATTTCTCACAGTTATATTAAATAAATAAAATTAACTAGAAACAAAGAAAAAACAAAATCTTCCTCTTTTTTTTGTTGTTTAACGATCATCACTTTTACTTTACTTGCAGTAAGCAGCGGTAGAGGACGGTCTTAGTACCAGTTGGTTAAAAACCATTGCAACTGACCTTTTAAATATTGACAAAACAAATGCGTTACAAAGTGAAATATGTTAACTACCTTATGTGGTTGTTACATGTGTATATTTATACATACATACATATGTATGTATGAATGTATGTTTATAGCTAGAAGTTACACGTAAATCTTTAATATACGACTTGGTAGCACATGTGATGTTTCATTTTGTACCCTACTCATGGGTATAAGGTATACTTTTTTGGAGTTATATTTATATTATGGATGAACTAAAGCTATGGCCCATCATTTAGTTTTTTAACTGGGTTTGTAATTTTGTTTAAATTTATTAGAGGTTGTCCGTCTGTCTGTTTATCTTACAGGAACAATGTTTTGAAAATTTTATAAATATGAGTTATGACTAGTTTTTTGGCTAGACTCTAGTCCATGAACTAGATTATGGAGTAGTTTATGGACAAGACTACAGAGTAGTCTATGGACTAGGCTATAGAGTAGTCCATTGACTAGACTATAGATTAATCTATTGTCTAGTCAATGGACTAGTCTATTTACTATTCATTGACTACTTTATTGATTTGTTTTTAGAGTAGTATTTGAACTGATCTAGATTTTGTACTAGTCTATGGAAGGGATATTCGACTAGTCTATTGACTGCTCAATTGACTGTTCTATTAAACTATGGACAAGTCTATTGACTACTCAATACAACAGGTCTATGAACTAGTCAACAGACTTGTCTATATAGTAATCTATAGACTAGTTCATTGCCTATTGATTAGTTTATTCAAAATCTTGTTGACTAGTCTAGGGACTATGTAGTCATTGGTTTAGTCCATTGGCTAGACTATGAACTAGTCAACAGACTTGTCTATGTTCCAGTCTACTACTACTAGTCTACTGACTAGCTAGTCAGTAGACTGGACTAAGTCATATGCTTCAATTGACTAGTCCATTCAAAATCCTGTTGACTAGTCTGTGGATTAGTGATTGACCAGTCAGCGAAGTTGGCTATTGACTAGTCTATAGACTGTTCCATTGCAGACTTGTATATGTACTAGTCTACTGTTTAGTATGTTCATAATCTATTAACTAGTCTATTCAATAAACTATTGACTTGCCACTGTAGTAGTCTATTGACTAGGCAATGGACTAGCCTATTGACTAGTCTATGACCAGTCAATAGATTTGTATATGTGCTAGTCTTCTGTCTAGTCTATGGACAAGGTCGTAGGATATTGACTTATCTAGTTCATAAGCTATTGACTAGTCTATTCAATAACCTATTGACTTGCCACTGTAGTAGTCTATTGACTAATGGACTATCCTATTGACTATTCAATGGACTAGCCTATTGACTAGTCAATGGACTAGCCTATTGACTAGTCTATGACCAGTCAATAGACTTGTATATGTGCTAGTCTTCTATCTAGTCTATGGACAAGGTCATAGGCTATTGACTTATCTATTAAAAATCCTGTTGACTAGTCTGTGTACTAGTCTTTTGACTATTAATATGGACTATTTCATTGTCAACAGACTTCTTTATGTATTAGTCCTATTGACTCGTCTGTGAACCTATTATTGGCTACTAGTCTATTGACTAGTCAGTGTACTAGTCTATTGAGTAGTCACTGGATTAGTCTATTGACTAGTCACTGGACTAGTCTATTGACTAGTCTTTTGATTAGTCACTGGACTAGTCTATTGACTAGTCACAGGATTATTCTATTGACTAGTCACTGGACTATTATATTGACTAGTCACTGGACTATTACATTGACTAGTCATTGGACTATTCTATTGACTAGTCAACAGACTTGTCTATATACCAGTCTACCTTCTAGTGTATGGACTAGGTCGTAGGCTATTGACTAGTCCATTCAACTAGCCTGTTAACGAGACAATTGCCTGGTAATTGGCTAGTCTACTGTTAATAGACGAGTTCTAAAGTTTAGTCTATCAGTAGTCTATCAACTAGTCTATAGATGAATCAATAGTTTTTCAGCTAGCCCAATAAAATCTTGTAATTGTAACAAACGAAATGATAGAAATCTAAATTTCCATCCTCACTACAGTAGCGCACACAACAAAAGCACATGCAATATAATAAAATTTATTTTACATAAACTTTAGCAAGCTCATCTTTAGCATAAAAAAATATTAAAATACAA